GGGCTTCCCGAGCAGCTTCAAACCAACGAGCTTTTCTCCCGGAGGAGAACTTCTTGGACTTGCGGGGGGAGATAGAGCCGGACGAGGACACGTACTCCTCGAACTTGGCTTGGTCTGTTCGCTGGAAAAATCGTTGCTTTCTTTATTGATTCCATTGCTATCTTGAATAACAGTTTTTCGATTACAAAAGATCCGGTCTTTTTTTAGATTCGGTTACAATGAAAATCAAAAAATAAATAAAGAAAATTACAACTCTTTCTCTTTTGTCGAACAGATCGCGAGCTCCTGTTTTGTGGTCGCTCGCTTTGGTGGGTTGTTTGCCTGCGCCGGGGTTGTTTGCCGTGGACCACCGCGCGATCTAGATCCGAGCAGATCTACGCAGTATAACGTGTATTATTTCACCAAGGAAATAATAGCCGGAGGGATTATTTCACCAAGGAAACAATCGCTCGAATCTCGGGATCAAAGACCAAGCTTTGATCCGGAGTGTAACAACGTAGATCTGAGATCTCGATCCCCTCGAACTCCTGCCTTTTGTGATGCGGGTGCTCGCCAAGAATCAGATCTGGACGTCCAAGTCTTCAAGCCTTCAAAAACTCCAAGATGATGTCTCAATCCGTCAGAGTTTCGGCTCTCCAAAAGTTCTTCCAAAAGTCCCCCAAAATGATGAATGACTCCGCCTATTTATAGGCAACCAGATCTGTGCATTTGGCACAGATCTGGGCGGCCACCTCAGGGTGGCTCGGCTTAGGCCGAGCCACCTTGAGGTGGCTCGGTTTCGGCCGAGCCCCTCCGGGTTTTGCGTCCGTCGTTTGGTTGTTTCAGTCCTTGTATCCGCTTCGTCCGTGATTCGGTTATGCGGTTGATTGGTCTGAAATCGATTCGTTGACTTGATTCCTGATTTGGCAATGAATCCGACTCTGAGTTTGATTCCAAAACTGATCATGGCGCGATCGCGATTCATCCGGGTTCGCCTGTGGCGTTGCTCTGAACCCCGATTTGTTCTGAATCCCGATTTGGAAGTCTGGATCCCGATTAGGCAGTAAATCGGCTTTGGTGTCTGAGTTCGAGTCCGTTATATGGTTGGATGACTCTTTGACTCCCTGGACCGTTGGTTTGATTCCGCACGCGAGTAGATTCATTCCGTCGTTCACGTGCGGTTCGTCAGCTTTGTAGCCTTGTTAATCCGCTTCATTGCGTGTCACTTGGCTTCGGTGTTGTGGACTGACGTTCGTGCTTAGATACGTCGCCTGATGGTTCATTAGTTCGTGTTGAACCGTGTCAAGGGACCTATAAGCAATTTTATATGCCTACAATCATGTTTATGATAATTAAATTATATGATATTAGAGTAAACGTATAAATGATTATATTATGAACAAAGAAAAGAAAATGAATATATGAATTTTCATAGTCTATTTGTTTAATATACAAATATGAAGAAGTATTTAAGTATATTTAAATTACCTTAAAAACAAATTATGATAAACAGTTAAAAAATAATTACTGAAATATGTGTAACATTTTTAATATTCATTTATTAGAATTTTTAAGCATATTGATGGATATTAAATTATTTTTCAAATCGAGTTCTAGAAAACTGACAATTACTTATCAACTGACTGATGGAGTCTTTTGATTGGACAAATTTTCTAAATAGACTCTATTCAAATTTTTATTTTTAAAAACCAACCAATTTGAGATTTAATTACCATTTTCGATCAAGTTTCAGCCACTTGGCTGAAACTAGGTTGAAAATGGTAAATAAATCTCGAAAGCTTCGCGGGATTCTAAACCCCGTGAAGTTTAGTTGCTAAATTACTCAGCCTAATCATAATTAGGTTGGGTAATTTGGCTCTAAACTTCACCGGATTTAGAATCCCGTGAAGTTTTATTTACTATTTTCAACCCAGTTTCAACTAGTTGGTTGAAGTCAGGTCGAAAATGGTGAATAAATTGCAAATGGGTCAAGTTTTACAAATAAAGTTCTAATAGGGTCTATTTTGAAAATTTATCCCTTTCATATTAGTCCCCCACATCCTTCACATTCTGATATTAGTCCCCTAAATCTTTATATTTTGAAATTAGTCCTCCAAATCCTTTAAGTGTTTTGAAATGAGACAAATTTTAAAATACTTAATGGATTTGGGGATATTTCAAAATGTGCAGAGATGGAGGACTAATTCAAAAATATGAAGATGTGGGTGATTAATATCAAAATATGAAGGGTTGGGGGACTAGATATTGAAAAAATCCATTCTCGATAACAATTGGATAAAGTTCTTCCTCAACGTAAAGAAGATACATAACTATTTTCCCAAATTGTTATACTATAACAGAGTAATGATAACTACACTATCATTACACTACTCCTACACTATAATAGGAAAAAAATGTGGGATCCATTCTATTCAACTTTTTTCTTAAAATTTGATGATTTATCAAAGGAGTCATACTTCTCTCTCCTATGTAGTAGGAGAGTAGTTCAGCGTTTGGCAACCGTGACGTTTCTGTCGTTTCTGTTTTTTTAAAAAAAAAACAATAAAACGTGTTTGGCAACCGGGACGTTTTTTTGACTTGACCCTTTACAAAATCTAAAAAATAAATACTTTTCTCAAAACACCAAAAATGTATTTTGAGATTCAGTTTTTTCATCTAAGTCAGTCGCGCCGCAGGCCTCGCCGCACCCCACCAACGTGCCACGCGCCCGCGCCGCCTCGCCACCACCGGACGGCCCGTCGCCAACCCGCCACCCCGCCGGCCGGTCGCTGGCCGCCGGCCCCGTCGTTCGCCCGCCCTCCTCCGCGCCCGCCGCACGCAGCGCCCGTCGGCCCGCTTCGCCCTCCGCCGCTCGCCGGCCGCCCGACCACCTGCCTGTTAGCCGACCGCCCGCCGCCGCACGGCCGTCACCGCAGCCTCTCCGGCCCGGTCCCGCCTCGCCGCCCTGCGCCGCCCCCGCCCCGCGCCGCCCGGCCGCCACTATATAAATAATAACTATAAACAGTGTTCAAAACATGCTTAAAAAAACACCATGGCATGATGTTTTTCTATAAAAACACTACAATAAAAATCACTATGATTACCAAAGAATACTCAATAACTAATCCAATCTAAGGTTGATAATCCAATTTTGGTATTCACACCTAAGAATACTCAATAACTAATCCATTTTAAGGTTGATAAATTTATAACAAATGCTTACAAGTGTAAGACCCATTACCAACTGGCATCACTGTCTCACAGTACAAATAATTTGTCGAGCAAAAAACATAGAGGCCATCTTCTTCCCTTCTTCTATGCTCTGCCATAAACTAACAATGCATGTTATGGAAACGCTAAGTGAATTATTTTTTAGCGCTTTAGATATTATGAAAAATCTACGTGGAAATTCTTTTTCTTTGGTTATAGTTTGGACATTCTGCGTGGAATACTATTGAATAATTTTTGAAATCTTAGCTTTAACTTTGAATCCAAAAATTTACAGTAACTACATCATATAATAAAAATACAGGTGAAAATGCTAGCTACACAGGCGTTCCCTCCCTCTCTTTCTCTCTCTAATAAAGTAAAAAATACTGAAGTATAACTATATATGCACAGCAAATTATATGACACGAGAAAAATTAAAGAAAGCTACTCAAAATACAATTTCACGGGGCTAATTTAATTGAAACGTGTTTTCTTGAATATATGCCTTCTATTAAAGTACAAAATTATAACCCCTAATTCTCATCATAATTTCAGATAATAATAAGATTAATATATATAGATGAAAAAGTTTTTTTTGTTGGAGGTAATAGATGGAGGTGTTTCTTGAAAAGCTGAGTACAGGTGAGAGGAGTCTTTCGTACACCCTTGGTAAAAATTACCGCGCCGACGTAACCTATTCTATTTTCGAAGTCACATTTTTCATTGTTCGTTTATTTCCTAAAAACCAAGAAATGGAAATGGAAAAGGTAGAAATCTCAAAATAATTCATTTCTTCCATTTCCATCCCTAAAACTCACCTACAACATCCAATAAAATATTATTTTCATCCAACAACTCATCCACATCATCTAATAAAATATTATTTTCATCTAACCACTCATCCACCACATCTAATAAAATATTATTTTCATCTAACAACTCATCCACCATATCTAATAAAATATTATTATCATCCAAACATCACTCAACTCATCTCTTTTCATCATTTCAAATCACTCATATCATCGAATAAAATATTATAACAATTCACCTCATCTCATTAACATTTCATTTCTTTGTTTTCATCCCAAAAAGTTATGAAAACACTTTTCTTAATCTTTCTTCACATCACCCAATAATACAGTGACAACTCATCTCATCTCATTTCATTTCTTGTTTTTAAGAATGAACCAAACAAAAAAAAACAACAAAACTACAGGAAATAGGTTTCTAATAATTCATTTCCTTATTTTTTTCGCCAACCGAACAACATCAAAACTAGTTTTTTAAAAAAATCACTCACATCATCCAATAATAATGTGACAACTCATCTCATCTCATCTCCATTTCTTTGATTTCCTTTTTTTTAGCCAACCAAACAATTCAAAAACCCATTTTTCCTAGAAATAGTTTTCTATTTCTTTGATTTCCCATTTTTTTAAGGCAAACGAACAGGCCCTTAATGCATTCTTCCCTTGCTAATTTCCCCATTCATTTCACGACATACATTACTACAGTCTCAACAACCACAAGAATTTAATTCAAAGCCTCTCCAGATCTGGGAGTTTTGCAGAGTACAATGATTATCCGATGAAAGCTACCGGCCGTTCTCCTCAAAGATCACCTTTAACCACTTTAATCTGCCGCCGTAATTAAGATTAACTACCAAATCAAATATAATTTCTCATTTACTTACGTGGCCTTCTTGTGTTAAACGCACCCGCGGTGATCGTAAGCCCTCCACGAACTTTTTCTTCCCTCTCCTCCAAATCTAATCTTAGCTAGAGTCGTAATTATTGGTCAGTCCTTTTTCTCCTCTGACAATCCATTTGGAAAGCGCACCTGATTTCTCTTTATCGATCTGTATCTAATAATAATAAGAGAGCGCTCAACCGACGGAAGAGGAGAAATCCAAAGAGAGAAACCGACCCTCTCTCCTCTTAAATTAATTTTATTTAAAAAAAAAAGAAAACTCAGAAGGAAAACAAAAAAATGTCGTGCTCATCATCGTCGGGGTCTGAAGAGGAGGACGAGGGCGTGGATTCGTACAGGAAAGGAGGTTACCATGCGGTGAGGGTAGGCGACCAGTTCGCCGGCGGCCGATACATCGCTCAGAGGAAGCTCGGATGGGGGAACGCCTTCGATACTCAGGCTCAGGTGACGAGTTTGGCTCATTTCGCTAGATCTCAATTCCTGTCATCCGCGTCTCATGATTTGGATCTTTTGTTTGATTCCTGTTTTGGTGGTTGTGTACCCTTTTGATCTGAGTTTTGATCGAATTGCTCTAGGCCGGATTTATATCGTTCCTTTTTTTTTTCCTTCTTTTGGATCTTGTATTGATCTGGGCGTTTTTTTGTTTCGTGTGATTTTGTCACCAAGCTTCTGCGATCTCGGGGGTTTTATTCTTCTTTAGAATTCTATTGAGAATAGAGCGGTGTCCTCAGAAATTCATCTTTGATGTTTTATTTTCGTTTGATCACATCTGCTCATAATCCACTTTTTTAACTATGGATTCTAATTTTCTTTGCAAATTATAATGTAAAATACATCAATCTTTGCAACCGTTGTGATGTGTTCTGATCTGAGGCTGATCTATAAAACAGAGGTCTTTATGTGTCGTCGGTTGGAGAGGAAACCTGTCATGGTTTATCTTTGTATCCTCTTTGTCTTGTTGGTCTTTCTGATGAAAGGTTTGTTCCTGGCATCTCTTGATCTTGGTCATCGCATTTTTAATCCGATCTTATTTGACATTTTATGGGTCAAGTTTGTTATGTTCTGTTGGTTGCTGAGCTTTTGGCAACTTGGTTTATTAGTATGCGCATGTGCTTAGGTAGTTCGTTGATGATAGCTTTTCTATTCTGGATCATCTTTGCCTTTTGATTATATTTGGAGGCCATTTTCTGTGAGTTGATACTTGAAATTATGGTCTTAGGTTCTCGGAAAAAAGAATAGTTTGTTTTTCTTAATATGCGTGATCCCGTCTATTTTAATTCTGGTGTAGGGGCACGCCTCCTTCATTAAGTCACCCTAGATGCCTTTTTTTTTTTGCAGAGATTTGTTGCTCTTAAAATTCAAAAAAGTGCAACACAGTTTTCTCATGCTGCTCTACATGAGATTGAGATTCTATCAGCAATTGCTAATGGGGACCCGTCAAACTCCAAGTGCATTGTCCAATTACTGGACCATTTCAAGCATGCTGGTCCAAATGGGCAACACATATGCATGGTCTTTGAATTCCTAGGAGACAGCCTACTCCGCCTTGTCCGATATAACCACTATAAAGGTATCGGACTAGACAAAGTTAGAGATATATGCAGATCAATCTTGTTTGGTCTTGATTACCTGCACAAGGAACTTCGCATCATTCACTCAGACTTGAAACTGGAAAATGTTCTTCTCATCTCCTCTATTGATCCTGCTAAAGACCCTATAAAGTCTGGAACTACTCCAATTCTTGAGAGACCTGAGGGCAACCCTAATGGGGGATCGGTAGTTAATATTATTGAGAAGAAGCTGAAGAAGAAGGCAAAGCGGGCAAGAGCAAGGATCTCTGAGAGAAGAGGGTCAATGCTAGAAGCACCAGTAAGGGAGAAGACAGAAAGGAGCTTGGAGGGGATTGATTTCAGATGTAAGATTGTGGATTTTGGCAATGCTTGCTGGGTTGATAAGCAATTTGCAGAGGAGATTCAGACAAGGCAATATAGGTCTCCGGAGGTTATTATTGGGTCTGGATATTCTTTTCCTGCAGACATATGGTCTTTTGCTTGCATCGCTTTCGAGCTTGCCACTGGTGATGTTCTGTTTGCACCGAAGATCGGCCAAGGATTTAGCGAGGATGAGGTATGTCTGTGCTTGACTTGTGCATAACCTCTTTCTTGTTCCTTTGCAAAATTTCATCAAATACCATGTCCATTTTGATTTTATAAACAGTTATATCTATTACATAATTTTGATGGGAGCAGCTGCATATTTGCATCAATTGAATGTCTTGTTGCTAGTGTAAGTAGTACAATTTTGGGAACCTTCCATTATTTTCTTTTGGGATAGTTATGATTCAAACTACATGTAACTAACACCAGACCTCCCGTATGGCACACATTCCAATTTTGTAGTGGAGAAGAATCACAACCATTTCAAAGGTAGCGGATAGTTATGATTTGGAAAATGACCCACCAATTCCTCAAGACTAGTCGTGAACGCCGTGCAAAGCACGACATATCATTTTTTTTGCTATAGTAATGTTTTTAAAATTTTTGGGTCGCTACAGTTTCGCCGCTGCAGTTTTTTAAAATGCTACAGTATTCCCGTATGCTACAATAATATTTTTCAAAATTGCTGCATTATCCAATTTCCTGTTTGTTACGGCAAATGCTACTATAGCATTTACTGTATCACTGTAGCATGAATAGTGAGTCTTGGGTTCTTCCGTTTGGATAGATGAAATGAGAGAGTTCTGATCCGAACAATATACACTCATACTCTCCAAACTAACATCAAAAGGTGCAATTCACCTACTTCCAAAGAGTACCGCTCATATGAATTAGGTACGTGAGAGACTTACAAAAGATTTAGTACAACAAAAATAGCTCCAACATTAAAGAATATGATTTAATGATGCACAAATTAAAATCACATAATAACTAAGAAGGAAAGTTAGTTCTATGCATCACAAGTTATACTGGATTGTTAAACTATTCGTAGTATTAACTTTTCACTAGATATGCTTTAGTTTTTGTCTCACCTGGTTATTAAACATATTTCGAATATATACAAAATTTCATCAAGACTGAGTTGATTTAGAATAATGAGTAGAGAGGTACAGATGAAGTGCTGCTCCATTAACAGGTTTTGTATTAAAAAAAATATAGGACATGATGTAGTTGAATCAATGTATTTGGTAGATGATATAGTAAAAAAGTGGCAAAAGCAGCATGCTTAAGCATTTGTGCTTTTAGCTGCTTTCAGGTTGAAGAAGCCCCTCCAAAAGTGAACATGACATGAAAAGCAGGCACTAAACACGAAAGCAGTCCAAAAGCTGACACCGAAATCTTTTTCTAAATTTACTTTAAGTCATTAACTTATTGACTATTTAATGTACATAATCCATTACATGTTAGTGTATCATATTACAATGTGTATAGTATTTTGTTAATATTGCGTGATTAAATTTAAGTATTGTTACACATCTATTCCATGCTTAACATCTCTATAAACATCACATATGCATTTAGATAATATTTTTCTCCAATCTTTGCTTGTTTTGTAATTTTCTGATTTGTCATGATTCTTTCTTTTTTTCCCCAAGATTTACCCTTATTTAAAATTTAAGGAAATAGAAAAACTTGACTCTTTTCCCTCTTAAGCCTCACTTAAGCCCCAAAAGCCTAAGTGATACCTTTCCGCTTCGCTTTCTGCTTTGTACAATATGTATGTATTCCGTCCTTTCACATGATCACATGGACGATTTTATCACTGCGTTCTGTAACTTTATGTTAGACTCCTTTGGAATTTTATCCAAAAGCACTATCAAGGGATACTTTAAATCAGTTATGATATTTCTTAGGTTTTTTATGAACTTATGCAGAGATATGTCTTATGGATAATTTCTATTTAATTTGGCTTTATTAAATTTGACAATTCTCACTAAAGAGTGATCTCTAAGGCATCATGGAGGTCCATCAAACTGTCAAGAAGTGTAGTTGGGACACTCATCACTTCATAGTCAATACTAAATTGTTATCATTCAGTATAAATTATGTGCAAGGTATCCATGAGATTGCAGTTTATCGGGTAAATTAAATTTATAGGAAAATTTGATAAAATATGATATGTTGTGCTTATGAAAACAACTTTTAAATATATTGAAAAAAATAAGGAGTATAGGAACCAGTAATTAGATTCGTTTGAATTATGTCATATTTATCAGACAGGGTTTTAAAATATACCCAGAGCAATGTTAGAAAAATTACAAAAGATTGTATTGGGGCAATAGGGACTTAGATCCTCTCATTTTCCCTTAGGAACTGGACTATTATTTTCTAAAATCCAAATCCTCTATTATTTTGGGGATGGTTGTGATTCAAGTGAATGTAACTAACACCATGACCACCATTATCACGTATTCTTACTCAAGAGAACAAGTCATAAGCATTTAATGTACAATTATGGTTTGGAAATACGTCCAATCCTTGAAGGGAAGGCAAGAGGGCCCAAATCCGGTTAGGGGATGTTTGGTTCATGAATTTCATCTTGATGCATGTAGTGGATTTTGAAAAACCAACCGTCAATATATTGTTTATTTTGTAATGGATATTAAAGAGGATTTGCATGGAGGATAAAATGCAAATAAATTTTGTTTGGTTGCAGTTTTGCACATGTATTTTATTGAGGATATGTGACTAAAATCACAAATCCAGCTAAAATCAACATAATTTTAGCGGATCACATTTGATGCTATGTGGCAACCCCAAATCCATGGCATGAAAAATACCAAGCACGCAATGAATTTGATAAAAATCTAGAATTTTAAACTTGTGGGTCTCATTTTTCAATACAAAATGCACCAAATACCTGAAAATAAACAGCGCCTTAGTAGTTAGTACCTCTTGTATTCCAAAAATTACCTCAAAAGTTACAATTCACTGACTTCACACAGGTATCACTTACTGTATTAGAACATGAGAGATAAAGCTAGCGGCTCGGGTGAAACACATATAACTCAAATATTGCAAAATAATTCCAAATTGTTTGAATCAAATCAGACAATAACTAAGAAGGAAAGTACAAGTTAAATTGAGCTGTTAGCTTATTTATCTTATTATCGACCTTCTCCTTTGATGTGCTCTGCAGCTCTAGAATGTTTCAGTTTGGTATGAAACATAATTCGAAAGTGCAATTATATTTCCAAAAAAAGTTGGTGTATTTTGAGTTGGAAACAGGCGATATGGCTTATCTCTTATAATGTTCAGAGGACAGCAGACATGGCTTTAGGAAAAGATATTGTGTGGTATATATTCTTATAGTCTTGAGTTGGAAATAGGCAACTGGTCATCTTTGTAGTCAAAGGGGGTGGGTATGGGTGGGGCACCAACTCAGCAAGGGCAGGGAGACGTTGTTGAGGTATTCTCATGGTTGCTTGCTCAGAATAACTAAGTATATCTTATCTCTTATAATCAAACATATCCAAAATTTACCGTCGTCTCATACAAGTCACTATGGTGATGTTGTTTCTATAGCATACTTAACCTATGGATAAAACAATACATGTTTGTAGTCCAATTACTATGAAATGTATTCTAGAAACGTCTAAAACTGTAATACCTAATACATTAACATATATTATGTAACTGAGGACACATTTGATAGGTTTTTAAAACACACTCTAGGTGTGTTTAGGAAGTGTCAGTGTTTTACACGTCTGGGTGGACACAACTTTTTGATCAAAATGTCCACACTGAATAGGTGCAAACTAAAGTACCCCCCCCCCCCTAACAGACCCCAAGAAAAAAAGAAAAAAAAGAAACCTGGCCAAAAAAAAAGAGAGGATGTAAGTATCAAGATGTATAAAGTCTTAAAGATTGGAGGCAACAAGTTGTTTTGGTGTTTTTCATTCATTTATTTTTTAGTTGGGAGGGGCTGAGGTGTGTGTATCTATGTGTTTAGCAGGTAAGGTGTAATCACTAGCGAGGTAGGGTTGTATTGAATGTAAGAAAGTAGTAATGGTGACAACACCTAACAGGTAGGGTAAAGGGTCTTACCTTTCCGTAAACAAACTTCTTTACCTTAACCTAACAGGTAATCTGGATTAAAATTACTCCACTGTGATGAGTTAGGATAAACAGGTAAATACTTCAAAAAAATTAGATTCTTAAGATACTAATTTTTTTTCTTAAAAGTTAAAACGTAACAATTAATTACAACAATGTTTAGTCTAAATTTCCTTTATATCACTGTATTTATGTTAATTAGTACAAATTAAGATGTAATACTTTTGTCTAGTTTTATAAATAAGCTTCAATAATAAATCTCTTGGTAAATAGTGTATAACATATTCATAAATTATTATTGTTGTTGTTGTTATATCTAAATGGTAAATGGGTAATGGTAGATATTAGCACCTTATGGTACTCCCACAGATTTATATAAACTGGTAAAATAACTTACTCATTTATTTATCATACTTAGTTAATTTAGATAAAAGGGTAAGAAAAGCTCATTTTCACCCAAAAAAATTAGGGAATAGGATTCAGCCCTACCCATTCCCATCATTTGACTGGAGAATATTATAGATTCTCTCCTCTCATCAAACATTAAGTTAGCATATAAAGGATTTTATGCTGCATATCTGCTTGCATGGCTCAGTTCTGAAAACATGCTTTCACCACTGAACTCATTATCTTCAATTGAACTGAGTTCAACCCCTATTGATATTACCAGTTTAAATGATTTTGCTAGGAATTTGTGGTGGAACCTAGTGCTCATATAATATATAATGGGACATACCTACCCTCAGCCTGAGACCTATATTTGAGTTAGTAAAATAGTGATCCCCTGATTCCTCTCTTTTATAGAGCATGGTTGTTCTATGACTTGGTGGGTGCTTGAAACTTGAAGGAAACATTGATTTAGTCTTCTGGTTAGAATCTGTTCAGTTCCAATGTTTTGATCCAGGTTTTGTTCGTTCACCAAACCAAGGCTCACGTGACATCTTTCTGTGAATTTTCTTTGTGTTAGTGTAAATTGAAGGTTGCTCTATAGTTTGAACGTGTTTCTGGAGTGACCCTTGTAAAAATATTATGGACTTTATGGGATTATGTATGTAAGATACGCCTAAGACTGAGACTTTATTACTCATTTTGGCCTTTAAGTTATAATGCTCAGAGTGGTCTATTATGAAAAAGCTCTTTGTGGAGTTATGTGCGTGAACATTCTCTGGCTTATACAATTTTATATTTAGTGCTCAAATATTCTTTACAGTAGTTATTATGATATACACCCGGAATGTTAGTCTAAGAAAACTTCAAACAATTGCCGCTTGGTTGCATGAGTTAAACTGCACAAGCAGGTCCCTAGTTTTCTTATAGACCTATCTATTTTTTATAGTCTACTTGACCAGGAATTGTTTGGTATTCTGTAAGTATCAAATCGGGAGATATGAAAATTTGGTCTGTGAGCATGGAACCTTTGATCAAACCAGAAACTTGTCGAGTCTTGAGTTCAAACTTTGTGTGTCTTTTATATAATGAACTCAGCAACAAGTTTGCTATGCTATTTGACCATTTTTTTGTACAATTTAAAGGCTTTTCGCCCTCGTAAGAGAGATTCTCCATGTTTTTGTAAGTATAACTGCTGCTATAACATGTTTGGAAACTGTCCTTGTTTATAGATGTCCATATGCCATTCCATTGGTGGTCAACATTGTTGCTTCATCTATCTTTTTGAACCATCTTTCTCAAGTTTTTGAACCAAAAATACTCATATACTTTGAAAACACTTCTTAGGAATTCGCTTGTAGGGGGAGAAATTGGGAGATCAAGATTACAGCAGGTTGCTTAATGAGCTCGAAATCCAATATGACTGAGAATCTGCAGAGTGAGGATAAGAGAAAATGTAGATTGGTTAGAGAAACTAAAGAACTTCATGAGGAAAAAAAACCACAATTTGTGATCAGGTTCTTGGGAAGCGAGTATACAACTTTAAAATGCTTTATCCACCACTCACCTGTAAACCTGTCACCTAGACCTGTTTTGATACTAACAAAAGATCACTATTTTATTAAGATAAGAACTATGACTTAAGCCTGTTATACATTGCTATTAAGTTCCAATATGAACCATACCATCACATTTGTACTTAATACAAAGTTTTTTCAACAACAATCTTACTGTAACGAAGAATTACACCAACAGACCAAACCGAAGTTGCAATTCTCTGCATGGTAAACCCCTTATGGATTGGGTGCAAAACTTGTTATCCATCTCTATAATAGTTTGGGGGTGAGTATTATAAAGTACAGTATGATTCAGTGTCTTTAATAGAGTTATCTGGACTCAATGAACAAGTTAAATATAGTTTTTTACCTGGTGTGCTTCCTTATTATATGTTTCCTTTCTTATTAGAATTTTCCTTTCATATGTGCTTTCAATAGATATTCTGCAAGGCCGACATGTACTTGTGAGGAATATTACCTTATGATCTCAAAACCAAAACTAAAATCAAACAAATTAGGAAAAATAATCTCACCTGAAAGATCTTAGGATAAGATTCAGAACTTCAATCCACAGTAAAGCCAAAACCGTTTCCTGACTTTATTAAGCCCTAATTCGCCACCGTTCGCCATCTGAATTGGATTTTCTTGACATTTTGGAAGCTAAGTTTTCGAATTGAATGATCAAAAAAGAAGAATATCAACAGATTGGAGAAGATATCAAATGAATCTCAATGAAATCTTGCTAGGGAATCTGCAGAGAGTCAAGAAACGAGTGATGATGACAAGGACAGCTGATACCTCATTTCAACAGCCAACTGCTACAGATAAAGCAGATTAAGGAGAAAAATAAAAAGAGAAAATGATGAGACGAAGAACTAGAAGGGAGTTGGAGAAGATCAAAAGTAGAAGCAGATGAATTGGACAACAAAAGCCAAAAGGCTTTAGATAACCAAAAGTTTATCTTGCCATAAGGAGGCTCGTTAGAGTTTATTGCTTGGCAAGAGATCACCAAGATGTGGGAGATTGAAAGGGAGAGGTCAAAAATGAAAGCAGAAAAGGATGAGAAGAAGAACAAGGAGGAGTTAGAGAAGATAAAAGGGAGAACCAGGTGAATGGGACCACAGAATGCTTTAGATAACCAAAAGCTCATCTTACATCAAGAGGAGGCTCGTTAGAGTTTATTGACATTGCTTGGTCAGACATTGTCAAGATACAGAGGAGTGATAGGCAGAGGAGAGCTAGAGAAAAATAGGATGAGCGTTTAAACCTCGTGCCCTCTCTTGAAGCAAAACAAGTTTGCAGTCTTTAGATCCATTTTATCTGGTCCAAACCCATTTTTAGATTAACATGGCAAAGCGGCTTGGCATTTTTATCAAGTTTTTATGCTGTGAAGAATGACCAAGTTAGCCTTCACCGTCATCCATGGGCCAGTATTTAACACATAAAAGCGAATTGGTGGCTTTTGGACCAACTCTTAATTTGCTTTCATCAGTAGTTTGACAGATCTAACGGAGAGGTCTGGTGTCACTTGATGAAACTCGATTAGTATTTTGACGATTCATAGTATTATCATACAAACTCTACATCTATGTCCGAGTACGTGCCTTTTGCATGCTCTTGTTTGCACTCAATAGATGCCTGTTTATGCAAATGGAGTTGGATGAGTAGTATTGTCTGTTTATCAATCTATTTATTATGTACTACATTATTATTTTTTCTATAAGTATTCGTGATCAGTTTATTTTTCAATTCATTCCTTAAATCACTCACTTTTTGCAGGATCACTTGGCTCTGATGATGGAACTTCTTGGCAAGATGCCCCGAAA